TTCAAATAAAAACAATTTCATATATTTGGTGTGAGAACCGTGAGAACCATATTTGTTACTATTTTTAATTTTGTATGATGCTAGTTTCTAATATCACATGATACTGTTATTTTCACAAATGCTAATATAAATTGTGTTTCTATTTTTAATAAAATACATCCATGTTAAGAATAACACTAAAAAACAATCAATTATAGCACTACGTACAATTAAAAATAGCGGTTCTCACCCTAAAACTTGATGTGAACACATCCTATATATACCAAAAAGTCAAGTATTTATTAAAATATTTTATTGAGTGTTTCATTACAAAATTGTTATTAAAATAGAAAATTTATTAAAAAAAATGTATAAATTCATGAGCTTCAATTTTGTTATAAAGAGTTTTATTTACAATTAAATTTCGTTAAAAAAATATTATTACTATTTTTTCTAACTTTAACATTAAGTATGAAACAAAATTATGGTAATAATTATTAATAAAAAATATAAATTATTTAGAACAATTTTGAGAACGATAAAATTAATAAAAAAGATAAAATTATGGTAATAATTATATAAGAGTATCATTAAATAATTACTTAATTTAAACAATTCAGAATGATACTTATTTTAAAATAATTGAAGTGTGCATATAAATTATATTTTAAACTATTATATATCATGAAAATAAAATTAAACGATTAATAATAAAATTAATTTAGATATTAATTTTAAATTAATCGAGATTCAATCACCAACGTAATTTAATCATTTTGTTATTCAGTGCATCGAACGAGCTACGTATTAATTTGTTTTATTTCGTTGCCGGCTTTACTAAGTTGTTTGGACAGTAGTTAGACCAACTACTGTTATGATATTCAACTGATGTGTTTGAATTAGTGTTGGTTTGTTTCTGGGTAATACACAATGCCCTAGGGCTGTGGCTCGTTTAGTTTAGAAAATACAGGGTCGAGTATTCTATTTATCTGTCTGTTTAAATCANTTTAATTCATCTTAGGTCAAACATATTCAGCAGCCTCATATCATTTAGCATTTAGCCTAGTAAATCTTCTCTTTAGATCCCGTCTTCTGTTTATTTTTACTCACTTGAAGTTGTTATTTTATCGATAGTTGCCTTGTAAAATTTAAACTTATGAAATGATTTGCTCTGGAAATGCTTTGGAGCCAAAATTTCATCAAACATAACAAGATTTTCAATGTAATATCCTTCGCAAGATAACATCACATTAGTGTTACTATCATTTAAGATATCAATTAAATATGTGAAACAAAATCATATAACCAATTTTCAATGTAAACCTCAAGTTTGCCCTTCCTCTTTTTCTTCCCCTTCTTGATTTCTACATTCTTCTCTTCTTTCTTTTGCTTCAACAATTCGAGTACCCCCTAATGCTCTGCAATTTCTGCTGGAAGTAAATCGTGCATCTGTTTGCTGCAATTAACATCCTCAATACCTATAATCGACCGGTTACTCGTACAAACTCGCGAGCTCCAAATCATACACGTCGAACTTGAGGTAGTTGGCAATTGCCGCAACTAGGCTCGACTTTCCGGTGCCCGGTGGCCCGTGCAGAAGTTAACCCCTCCTCCACGCCTTGCCCACACTCCGGTAGTTATCCTTCCTCCTTACAAACCCGTCAAAGTCCTCCACCACCGCCTGCTTCAAATCCGGATCCATTGGCTAGTAATTACTACAAGTCTTTTCATATTTTTTAATTTGTTAAGATGATTTTCATATACAGCATATTTGGAATAACAAAGTAAAACGACAAATAATTATAAATAATAAGTCAATTTAAGAAGATAAATTGTTAAAAGTAAAACGACATTTAATTCTCAATGTATACTATGGGTACTGAATGTGACATATATCTTACTTTGAATATGAAAATCCTTATTTTATCGTAAAAAAAGAATAAAATTAAAACCCACGAAACCTTTGAAAAAAAAAACCCTCAAATTACGAATTCAAGTCCTCAAGACCTGGAAGTTTCAAACAATGATATCAAGACCAAAGCCGTGGTCAAGAAAGGGAAGGAAAACCGGTGCGTCCTTATACATTCTGACATCTCCATTTCAATCTTGCGCCCATTCTCGCAACTCCCTCACCTTGGTCCACTGCATGAGCTGCTATTGTTGCTCGTCGAGAGCTTCCACAAACATAAAACTAGAAATATATTGTGTCTATTCTATTTTATAAGATAATCCTGAAATGAAAGAATATAGGCCTAGGCCTGGACTGAAAGAAAACCGGAAAGGTTCGTCCATACGTCCTGTTTCGCAATTCTGACCTCTCCATTTCAACTTAACGCATATTACCCCATCATACGTCCCGTTTTGCAATTCTGAAAGGTCCGTCCACTCCACGAGCTGCCATTTTTCCCCATCGACGGTTTTCACATGCACTTGCTCTAGATCGTGCCGCCAAAAGGTCCCAAGGCTCATGCTTGCAAGCAAGATGTTGAACTGAAAGTCTGAGAGCCTCCGGTTCCTGGCCACCCCCGAATTGCTCATGGGCCTACGATCCCATACGTGCCTCGGTCGACAAACACGAAACAAATCCTTCGTAAAATCCAAGTACCAAGATTGCGTGCGCCATTTACCATTTCCAAATTCCAAGTTCTCTACCACCAAAGGCGGCTCGTCACATAGAAGATGACTGTCGTCAACAGCACCACATGGCACGCCCAGACCACGACCGCAGTTCATGTGCAGAGTCAGATCAATCCGAGACCCACTTAGTGGCTCGAGCATTCGTCTAATGAACCATGAATTGACGTTGAAATAGGGATCATCCTCACACAAATAGAGGATTACATATGAATCCCACTCCTTGGAAGTAGTGGTCGTGAAAGAGAATGTGTCCAGCGCCTGGGGAATACAGGCAATGATCATAAAATTGAGAATGTTTGGGGCACAAATCGTAACTCCTTTAACCAGTATATCTCTTATCGAGAGGCGCAAGAACTTGACCGAATCACTTGCAAGATGGAATTCCTCAAAACCGGAGCAATTAAGTAGGGCCAAGCTCTCAAGAATCGGGCAGCCGAATGATAACATGTCGATTGACTCGCTCGACAGGATCACGTTACGGAGATGCAAACTCGTAAGACGAGAAAACAACAATGGGCTTCGGTGGTGAGACCAAATCCATAAGCCATTGATAAAGATTGTCTCGATATTCGGGACATCGATTTCGATCATACGCCCTTCGATCCTCTCATAATCAGACAATACAAAGTGCTTGAGCCCAGGCGCGTCACTCAACCAAACGTTTCTCAACTCCCAACAAATATTAAGGACCAGGCGCCTGAGCAAAGGGCATTCCAACGTTTTTGTCCCCAAAGTCCCGCCATCAACTTGGACCCGTTCGAGGGTGAGTGTGTGCAGATGTTTGAACCGCACGCCCTCGACCGGGCTCAGCTTGCAATCGCACAGGTGTAGTTCTTCGAGGGACTCGGCTAAGAAGACTGTCGAGGGCAGGTCGTAATATGCCGGAAAAAATGAATGAAAGTGGAGTTTGAACGCTTTTATGTTGAGGGCGGCTATTGTCGGGATCCATTGGTGGAGAAGGGAGATGACCCGTCGTGAGTCGTGGATCCATAAGTGGAGATGGAGTTTGTGTATGGAGAGGTTTTGATCAAGGTACCCTTGTAGGGTTCGGTCGAGTACGGAGATAAACCTTTCTTGTGTGTCGTCGAACCATTTGTTGAAGAATTCGAGGTTGAGTACGGGGACAAACCTTTCTTGTGTGTCGTCGAACCATATGTCGAAGAATTCGAGGTTGGGACGGGTTGTTCCTATGTGGCGCCATTGTTTGGAGAGTAGGCAAGTTCTCACAGCTTCTTTCTGGGAGAGGAAACAGAGAATGTGATGAAGTATAATTCTTGGCAGATGGGATATTCTGTCGTCAATGGCTGCGGACAGAGTCTCCTCTGTTTCAGCCGCCTGCTTTTGCTTTTTCATAGGAGATAATGTGATGTGAGAACGATTTTGTGACCTAATGAATGAATCAATCCTTGTGCAGGTTATTGTTAATAAAAAAAAGGTAATTCTTTATAATAATAATAATAATTAAATAGACTCTATCCATTTCTGTTTTAGGTGTGTTTTTGCGCACGGCACAACATAATACAGAGTTTCGGTATTCTGTTCCTTTTTATAAGGTCGTATATCTTCAATAGAAAACCAAACGGAACTGAATTTCCTCAATTCCATCGCTCCCTTCCTGGAACTCAAGATGTGCATGAAAAACTAACTTGTCGTCGATGCTCCTGCGCCAAACCCTT